TAAACCCTAAACCCTAAGCCCAACGGCTCCCAAAACCCCCGAAAGACAGATCCCACTATTGGGAGCCTTCTGACGGCCGACAGTGGGCTGAAGAGTGTGCCTGGCTTCTTTTTTTCGTTGATTCCCCAAGCCCATATTCCTGACCTTGCTGTTGATGTAATGTAGGGGCCTTGATAATTAGAATAGGGGCTTTGGGCTCTTTTATAGTATGGTTATAATAAGGAACCCTAAGGATATTGAAACGGCTTGCGGCTTCGGGTTTTGTAAGGAACGACAGGTGGTGCCAGCCACTTCGTCATATCTTTGTTCGTCCTCTTGGCAATGAATATACTACAACAAGAACAAGAATGGTCATAGTCAGAAAGATAATCACACAATAATAAGGTTAAGAAGAAGTAACGACAATAAGTCATAAGAATAAAACCTCAGCTATGTGTGAAGGCGCCCCCTGCAAGTAGCGGGAGCTTTCGCGGCTCGGCATCTGGGAGTCATACTTTGCTGGGTTTGGGGTTTAGGGTTTAGGGTTTATCGGGGTTAGTACTACTTTTTCCTGGAGGGTTGTGGACTACCCTAGCAGCCCTAGCAGCCCTGTAACCTCTACCAGCTCTTGGGATCTAATATAGGGGCCTTAATAATTAGAATAGAGTTCTTATTGCAAGTATAGTATAAAATACCCCAAACCCTAGTCTAAGTATTCAGGCCCCTATATTAGAGTTCTGGACCGCGGGTTCACAGAGGGCTTGCAATCGGGGCTCTCGGGTGGATTGCACTTCAGAGTCCAGCTGACCCTAAACCCTAAACCCTAAAACCCTAAACCCTAAAACCCCTAAACCCTAAACCCCTAAACCCTGAACCCCTAAACCCCCAAACCCCTAAACCCTAAACCCTTCTAACTACTATTTGGTCAGGTTGGGCTCAGCCCTGTTTTCTCAACAAGGCTTGAGATGTGAGTGTGATTTGATGTTCAGGAAAGCAGTCTTGAGGCTTCAGGCTTCGTAACGTATACCGAGTCTTGAACACACCCTTGGGGTTTAGGGTTCAGGCGTTTTTGGTATGGGGTTTAGGGTTTAAGGTTTGGGATGGTTTAGGGTTTAGGGTATGGGGTTTAGGGTTTAGGGTTGAGGGTTCAGGGTGCAAACCTGAATCTGTTGAACCCTCGAGCCCGACATCTGAAGAGCCAAGAGGAACCTGAACCCTGAACCCTAAACCCTAAACCCCATAAACCTGAACCCTAAACCCTAAACCCTATAAACCTGAACCCAGAACCCCAACAGAAGCAAAGCTGAACCGAACGCCTTGACCCCAAGCCCATCAGACGTTCCATGCCACACGCCCTAAATCCTGAAACTGTACACCCTGCAATCCTGCACCCCTAAACCCTAAGCCCTAAACCCCTGAACCCTAAACCCTACACCCCCTAAGAATCCCCTAAACCCTAAACCCAAAAACCCCCTAAGAATCTCCTAAACCCTAAACCCTAAACCCTAAACCCTAAACCCTAAACCCCTAAACCCAAAACCCTAAACTCTAAACCCTAAACCCCCTAAGAATCTAAAGCCGAAGCCCTGCAGTCTAACCGGTCGGGATGGCAGCTGTCGGTTCGTGTTGCTGATGCAGATGTCATCCATATCCACGAGGGTCAGGCTGACGTGGGTTTAGGGTTTAGGGTTTAGGGTGTAGGGTTTAGGGCTTTGGGCTTAGGGCTTAGGGTTTAGGGTTTAGGGTTTAGGGTTTAGGGTTTAGGGTTTAGGGTCGGTGGTTGAGGACTTCTATATAGGGTCTGCAGAACGAATGGTTATGTCATGTCCCCTGTCATGAGGGCACTATGATTCTACAAGAAAAACCCCAGAAGCCTTTTCTACTAATTCAGGCTTCTTTATTTAGCACTGTTTTGCCCTTATGAAATCAATCAAACTTGAAAACCACAATTCCATCAAACAATGACGTAGGGCGTGGGATTTAGAGTTTGGGGTTTAGGTGTCGCAAAAGTTTGGGGTTCGGGGTTTAGGGCTCAGGGTTTGGGGTCTACGGCTTCGAGTTCAGAGATACTGTAAGGGCGTTCAAAAATATTCCGGGAAGAGGCTTCGGGCTTCAGTGCCTGCACCTAAACCCTGAACCCTAAACCCTAAACCCCTAAACCCTAAACCCTCAAGCTCAGGATAAAAAGAAATTGTTGTCTAAAATGCACCGCCATATTATTTTCAATGTTCGACGGACAGACTACAAGCACAGAAACGAAAATTAGTTTCCGCGGCGCGTGGACAGCCCAGCCAACCCAGCCCCACGAGCCAGCCCAAGCGTAGGCAAAATTGCGGCGAAAAGCAAAAGGCAAAACCCGGTCAAAACCGCACAAAATCGCCCAAAATTCAGGACCTGCCGCCCAATGCAGGGTTTCAGCGAAAGTTGTAGCAAAATTAGAGACTTGCAGCAGCACCAGCAAAAGTCAAACCCTCCCAAATCGGATTTCCAGTCAAAGGAATTTCAGCAGCAAAAAACAAAAAGCAAAGTTTCAGCAGCAAAAGCAAAAAGCAAAACCCGCCCAAAACCGCACAAAACCGCACAAAACTCAGGACCTGAACCCTAAACAATTTCCATAAACCCTATATTTATATCCTAAACCCTAAACCCCTAAACCCTAAACCTTAAAACCCTAAACCCCTAAACCCAAAACCCTAAACCCCTAAACCCTCAACCGTTTCTAGGATTACGTTTCAGGATATTAGACATTATGGGCTCAGGTGACCGGAAGCCCTGAGCTGCACACCTGAAGCCCCGAGCAAAGTAGCGTGAGACTCCGGTAGGTTTAGGGTTTAGGGTTTAGGGTTTAGGGTTTAGGGTTTAGGGTTTCGGGTTTCGGATTTCGGGGTTCGGCCTGAAACCCTAAACTCTAAAGCTCCTGAAACCCTAAACCCTAAACCCTGAACCCCTAAACCCTAAACCCCTAAATCCTCAACCCTAAACCCTAAACCCTAAACCCTAAACCCTTTAAGCCCTTAACCCTTTGAGCCCTTAAACCCTTCAACGCTGGCCTTTCGAGGCCGGGATGTCGCGGGAGCTGCGGGACCAGCGCC